ATTTAAGATGAGGTCATGAGGATAGGCCCTAGTCCAGTGATGGCAAACCTTTTGACTCGGCGTGTCAGCATTTTGAAAAACCCTAACTTAACTCTGGTGCCGTGTCACATATAGAAATGTTTTGATATTTGCAACCATAGTAAAACAAAGATTTATATTTTTGATATTTATTTTATGTATTTAAATGCCATTTAACAAAGAAAAATCAACCAAAAAAATGCGTTTGCGTGTCACCTCTGACACGCGTGTCATAGGTTCGCCGTCACTGCCCTAGTCCAACAGACCTGGTGTCCTTATAGGAGGGAAATTTGAAGAGAGAGACACACAGGAAGAATGCCATGTGAGGACAGAGGCGGAGACTAGAGCGATGCAGCTACTGGCCAAGCTAGACCACCAGGAGCCAGGGAGAGGCAAGGAGGGCAGGGGTTCTACCCAGAGTCTCAGAGCATGGCCCTGCCAAGACCTGGATTTCAGGCTTCTGGCCTCCAGGTCTGAGACAAGAAATATCTGTTGCTGCAAGCCACGCACTTTGTGGTCACTTGTTACAGCAGCCCTCGGAAATTCATACTGTACAGTGCGTGTGTTTAACTGTAACACTTACTTAACGTCAACATTTATCTGCGTGATTTGTGTTTGGGTAGTGTCCACCGCATTATGTGGTCCGCTGGCTCATTCATTTAACATGAACTGAGCAGCTAATGCATGCGAGAGCCTGTGCAGGGTCCCAGAGCCGCAAAAGTGGGTGAGCCAGGAGACCACGTGAGGACAGCCTTGCGAGGGAGCCAGCTATATACACAGCCATGTGAAGGCCATGCAGCACGTTAATAAGCACGGACAGCAGAAATGAGGAGCATTTGCTGTGTGCCACCAAGTGCCCGGCAGCGCTGAGTGCCTCTTGTCACATTTAATCCTACACAAACCGACGAGGGAAGGTGCTGTTACAATGCCCGCTTTCCGATGGGTGAACTTGGGCTCAGAGACCTGGGGACAGCGGGACTCCAGCCTGGACCGTGCTGGCCACTCAGAAGAGATGGAGACTCGCTCCTACTGCGGTGTGCAGAACAGTGTGCGCTTTGGTTCAGAGGGGCGAGGAAGAGTCACTTAAATAGGAAAACATCTTCGTAGTTGAATTTTCAGAACAGCCAACATAGACAAAAATAGGCCTCTGGGCCCAGCCAGTGTGACTCAGCAATTAAGCATCGACCCAGGAACCAAGAGGTCGCCAGTTCAATTCCAGGTCAGGGCACATGCCTGGGCTGAGGGCTCGATCCCCAGTGAGGGACGTGCAGGAGTAGCCGATCAATGATGTTTCTCTCCCATTGATGTTTCTTTCTCTCTCTCCCTTCCTTGCTCTCTAAAAATCAATAAAAAATATATATTTTTTGTAAAAAAATAGGCTATTGGGTGAAGAACCTGTGGCCATCCCTCTTCAGTCATTAACAAGCACAATCCAGCGCTCCCGATGGCTCACAGGGACTTGAGCTGTCCCCTCTGTGTGGCCCGTGCCGGAAGGCAGGACAAAGGTCCCCATCTCCTCCCTTGCACCTGCCTGAGCTTTTCCGATGAGCAATAAGGAACTGAGCATCTCTGTCATTACTCTGGTTCATCTTTGTGGCACCTGGTGTGTCTGGGGCACTGTTCTCAGCTAATGTGTGAACTCGGCTAATCCCACGGTGCAGACGCTATTGCACCCATTTTACCAAAAAGGAAGCCGAGACCCAGCGAGATGAGGCGAAGCACCGAGTCAGAGCTGGATTCAAACCCGGACACGCCAGCCCAGAGTTCCTGCTGTCACAGCCTTGCTGGAGGAGGGTGGGGCGGTTTTGGGAGGAACGATGATGATTCAAGTGCCTCAGCCCAGCCTGACGCTATCAGCCCATCCATTACCCTCCTCCGATGCCTTCAGCCAAGTCCTGCCCGTATTTTCCACTCCTTTTCTCTACCCATCTCTAGTATTCCGAAATGAGCTAAAAATATAACGTATACCATATAAAAATAATGGCACGCTCATGCTCTTCTACTGTGGCAGGAAAACTTCCCTATTAGGACAAACCCAGGGATGTGCAATTTCAGCCAAGGGTGAAGAGACGGTGGCTCGCAAATGACAGAAAAAAAAAAAAAAAACGGAAGGAAGAACACAGCCGTCAAGGTAGGAAGTTACCTAATTTACAACCAGTGCAGAGCAGGTTTGGAATAAGTGTCAGGGGAGGGGGAGGGGGAGGAGGGCGAAGGAAGAGCAGAGGGAGGAGGAGGGGAAGAAGGAGGGGGAAGTGGGGGAGGGGGAGGAGGACAGTAAATGGCAAACAGGGTCATGCCAAGTGTTGGGAAACTGAAACACATGTGTGGTGCAGAGTGGGGCATACCAGGTGGCCAGGGCCCTCACATTCACAAAGACCCTCCCTCCTCAAGTCCGTCTCAGGGGAGAGCCTGGATCATTTAAGATCACCATTTTTGTGGGTCAAAAATGGCCAGATGTTGGCAATTTCATATGGTTCCATGTACACACAGAGTAACTTTGGCAAAACTGAAAGAGATATTCACCTAAAACGTAACATGCAGGGTACTTTTTGTAACCTTCTTTTGCCATTTCTCCTCCTCCTCCTCCTCCTCCTCTTCTCTCCTCCTCCCCCACTCAGCCTGTCCTCTCTCCTCCTTCATCCTCCTCCCCCTCCTCCCTCTTCATCTCACTTTAAACTATGTCAGGAGTCTAACCATCACTCTTATTCATTACTTGAGAACATTTCAGGAGGAAGATGAAAACAACCGTGTGTACATATGTGTAGACACATTCTTGTACTGTGTACCCGCACACATGCACACAGGTCCATGGCTGGACACAGGGCACCTTCTCCAGGGCCAAGCCTGCGACAACAGGACGAGAGCTGCCCCTGCGCTCACAGTCAGCACCAGCTGCTGCTCAGAGGTCACGGGGCCAGACCTCCAGCTCAGCCCCAGCAGGACAGGAAAGGGGCAATTTCAGGGAGCAGGCCTCTCTGGCCACTGGGATCCCCAGCCTGGGGTGCAGCCGGACACCCCGTGTGCAACGGATTTTTCAGTGCTGAAGTGCTTGATAGCCAACAAAGAATGTCTAAGGCTGCAATACACTTTGCGCTGCCTGACGGCCCACCTGGAACTCAGGCGATTCAGAGTCAAAAGGAAGGAGAGGCCCAGAAGGCGGGGCGTGGGCCTTTGGCCTGGAACGTGGGCACCCCGGCTCCCTGGCTTCCTGGCTGCAGGACGGTGGGCAGGTTTCTCACCAAAGGCCCGCATCCTCACCGGAGAAAGGAGACGATGCCAGAGGGGCTGTCTTGGAGGTGTTACAGTTTTAGGGTAGGGAGCCCTCAGCCCAGTGCCCGTGACTGTGGCCTCTGAAATGGCTTTCCTTCGAGATTAAAACATCTTCCCCGGGGAGACCAGGCGGTCTCAGC